ACCGCTCCAAGATGGCCGCCGTATTTCCTGCGCCGGAGCGGCCCATGAGGCGTCTACTCTTATGTCTATGATTGAAACACCCATCTGAAGAGAAGACTTAACGATATCGGCATCATTCTGAAAGGTTACTGGTTTGGATCCAGAGGTCGGGTTTCCCAGGCTACTTCAGATGACCAGGCGTGTCGCCCCGCTCCCCGCCCTTCGGCCCCCTACCTGCCATGCCGTCGGGCTCCTTGGCGCCGGACAGGTAATGCTCCTTGCGGTGATGCGGCTCTCCCAGCTTGAAGAGGTCGTCGAGCCGCAGAAACTGGCAGACGCCCTGCCAGATGGAGCCGCAGGCCACCAGTCTGCTCCCAGTATAATCCACCAGCAGCAGCTTGTTCACGTTGTTCGTGCTCTCCAGCCTGGGGGCAGAGAGGTCAGAGGTTAGAGGACGAGGCGGGCCGGCGACAGCGGCGGCGACGGGTCGGAGACTGACCTGTGGGCGCAGGCGCGGACGCTGGGGGGCGGGTAGCAGCGGGCGTTGTCCTCCACCGGGCCGGTCACATGACTCTTCAGCTCTAGCAGGGCGGCGCTCAGCTTCACCACCCGGTTCACGGCGCCCACGAAAACCTCGCCCGTCTGTCGGTGCACCGCCAGGTGGGTGAAGGATGCGTCGGGCGCCCGGTACTCGGCACGGCCCGACTGCGGTGAGGGCGGGGCTGGGAGAAAGAGGAGGGACGGGAGGAGGAAGAGGAGCAGGAGGAGAGGAAGAGAAGAGGAAAGAGAGGAGGGGAGCATGGTGGAGCGAGAGAGGAAGAGGAGGAAGAGGAGGAGGTGCTGCGGGTCCGATGAAGATCCGCTTCACTGATCCATGACTGCAGAGACACAGAGAGAGACCGTGTCAGAACCAGAACTAGAACATATATGACTCGGGAACCGGTTCAGGTTTGGTTCCTGATGCACTTCCACTAATGCTAGCAGAGCTAATATCTAGCTTAGCGGTTTAGCTAACCATTTCTGAAGGGCCAATCAGAATCAAATCCTTCCTGTTCCTGTTACCAGAACCCCAAATATCTGGAGTTTGTTCACGCTGCTGAAACCGATTAGCCCTTTATGCTAATCTGCTAACAGCAGAGGTAGCATCTAGCTTAACGCATTAGCGCATTGTGATAACTTTGAAAACATTTAGCACGCTTAGCTTACCCTGTTCAAATTTGCTCAGCTGTTTTGTAAAGTTTCTGTTATCGACTTCTGAGAAATCTTCAAACTGTTGGACAATATTCAGACTCTTATTTTGATGGGCAGAAGTTTGTTTGTTTTATAGTATATTAAATATACTTTCATAAAATTAAGTGTATAACACCAAAACTTAAATCTGAAATTCCCATGTAGCTCTACGGGGATTTTGTGCATCATCAGCATTTTTTTAATATGGAAACAAAAAACAGGAAAATGAACTTGAGTTTCTTTGAAACAACAAAAAATCATTTCTGCACCACTAAAAACAATTCAGGTACGTAGAGTAAACATTAACCAAGGATGAAGGCAGCGCACCATCCTCATCCTCACCGCTGGCCGTGAGCCCGCAGCAGATCCCGCTCAGAGGATTCGTTCCTGAACGTCACATGACTACAACAATGTCACTGCTTTAGCACTCTAGCATTAGCTTCTGCTAAATATCATCCTGGTGCTTTAGCGTTAGCTAGCGGTGCCGACTATTGGGTTTCCATCAGTCTGGGTCACATACAGCTGACGGACTTGATCCGGACTGGACTGGATCTGCTGCTAACCCCCAACAGAACCAGTCAATCCTTTGGTTCCTCTTATGATGGACCCAAATCACCAGAGTCCTGATCCAGAACCATCAGCAGCATGGTTCTGGCACTGGGGTGAAATGGGTCAAAGTGAGGAGAACCGGAACTGACCCGGTATCACCCGGGATCCAGATAACCCAAACACAAAATCCTGATCTGAGAGTAAAACGATCTGAGACGAATCTGGGTTTTTAAAGCTGCAGAGGGTTTTATCTACCAGCAGAGAGTCTCGTGTGTGTGTGTGTGTGTGTGTGTAATACTTTGTGGGGAGCATTTTCCTGACACACTACGTTGTGGGGACCCACTGCTCCTTGTGGGACCGAAGCCTGGGCCCCACAAGGGAAATACTGTTTTTGGGTCAGGGGTCAGATTTAGGTCTAAGGTGTCAACTGAGTTTTGGTTGGGGTTGGGTGGGTAATGGTTAGGGATAGGATAAGGTGTGTAGCTGACAGTCGGAGATCGGACCCGCCTCAGGTTTCCTGCAGCTTTATTAGACAATCAGGCGGAAATCTGCCTCTCACACACACGTTTGTCTCTCTATCTTTGTGAGGACTTTCCATTGACTCCCATTCATTTCTACAGCCTAACCTTTAACCCCTAACCTCTGACCGAAACCAAAACCCAATTCACACCTTAGTCCTAAACCACTAACCCAAAAACAGCGTTTCCCCTCATGGGGGCTTCGATCCCCACAAGGAGCAGTGAGTCCAGAAAATGTCTCCAACATGGCCGACTGAAACCCGCTCAGAAATATAAGATCACTGCAGAACCTGCTGGTTCTGACCAGAACAGAACCAGAACAGAGCAGTAGTAAAGCTCTCAGCCCCACAGATAGACACACAGGAAACTATGTTCAACAATTAACCCTGTGACACACACACACACACACACACACACACACACACACACACACACAGCCAGCGGTCCATCTGTCGACCTCTCCCCTTCAGCTCAGCAGGCCAATTAACTAATGTGCTGATCTTTCACTGCCTCTTTGTCCGTGTGTGTGTGTGTGTGTGTGTGTGTGTGTGTGTGTGTGTGTGTGTGTGTGTGTGTGGCTGGCCACAGTAAGGACACAGAGAGTTTCTCTGACTGTACCGGGTTTCAGAAAATCATCCCCTGTCCAGAGTTCCCCATGTTCTGGTCAGCAGGATTTCAGGAGCATCTGATGTTCCTGAAATCCTGGACCTTCTGCAGGTGAAGTCAGGGTTAGTTAACCTTCATGGTTCTGGCTGAGGGCGTAACTGGAACTGACTCCAGCTTCTAAGGTCCAATACAGCCCAGAACTAGAACCAGGCACACGCAAACATCAGCTAACTGGATTTTTTTCTACTGTCTGTAAACAACAAATGGGCTGGTTCTGATGCGGAAAACCAGCAAACCAAATAAACTGAGCTATCTCGTTAGCTCAGTATCTTTAAAAAAAGACAAAACAACAGGAGGGAAACCATCCAGTGTGAGGAAACATAAAAGCCCAAAGCAGGTCGTTCAGAACCACAGAGACACTGGAGAACCTGAAGCTCCAGATGCAGAAAACAGACAGAATGAAGCGTTAATGCGTTCTCACATTAACACATTGATAACACATTGATAACACATTAACATTAATACGTCTGTATGGTTCCCCTGCAGCCTCTGCCCAGCCAGCCCCTGTAATTTTCAACGTCGGCTGCTAACAGTGGTTTGAAGTAACGAAGTACTTCGTTACTGTAGTTAAGTACATTTATCGTGTATCTGTACTTTACTTAAGTAGATTTAATAATGGGTACTTTCTACTTTTACTCCACTACATTTTACAGTAAGTATCTGTACTTTCTACTTCACTACATTTCTACTAAACCGTCGCGTTACTCGTTACATCCAAGTTGCGCTTTTTGTCCGTTAAAATGTGAAGTTCAGGGTCTTAAGGTGGCGCCGTAAAATCCAAGCAATAACGTGACTTAGTGTCTGTTGTCACCCATCGCCTCCACCTTTACTCGCAGGCGGAGCTCCAGACATGCGCAGTGGTTTCCTCTGAGCGGGAGAAGATGTCTGTCTGATCGTCAGTTATATAATAGCTGCATAAATCATAAGATATGACGACATGTAAAACCAGCAGCGCTTCGCTTTCACAGACGGTGGGACTTTGTCCAACTTTTAGCGTCACTT